TCTCGAAGCGTTGTTGACGGCAAATCGACGCTGATAGCTGTGCGTAGGAGAAACCCTCTCTTTGCTAGTGTAGGAGAAAATGAGTCGACGAATCGAATAAGATCGAGACCGGAATTCGAGCCCGGATCTTTCACCTGCCGGACGACAGCTTCAACCAATTAACACGTTAAAAGCGACGCCAGTCCATGGGAACTGACATCGAATTTTCTCTTCCGGCGTCGTCCTTCTACAACATTTATCTTTTAACCCTAATATTCCAAGTTCCGCACAGCGATCTCGATCGATAAAAAGTCCACCTTCAGTTCCAGGAGACAGACTTCGCTCGAACGGAAAGCCAAGCGAAATTGGCTATCCCGGCCGACCGACGACCGATTCTCTCCTAGCCCTTGTAACCCAAAGACCTTATAAATTCCGATTCCTGCAGTAGCAAGTATGACGGTTCGACGAAGGAGCTGGTCCAAATCTGGCAATTCCCGCCTATGATCGCTGGCCTCCTGAACCTCGGCTGAGCGTCGATTTTCCAGCGCCGCGGCGGAGAGACGGACGAACGTTCTTGCAAGAGAGAAATCGGTGCGAAAGCCGCGGGTGTAATTAAAATGGTCGCGCATTTCTGCCAATTTTAGCAATTTCGCGGCGGCGCGTGCTGCGCCGTAACCGGCAAAGAGGCTCAAGGAATCATGCAATTATAATTTATTCGCGTGGCGCGCGCAGCGCCGAGCCGAGCCAAGCCGAGCCGAGTCGCTCGCGTTCTCCGCTTTCCTCTCTTTCCTCCCTCCTCGTTTGTTTCCGCTTCGACCGCGTTTGTTACCCGCGCGCTCTGTTCCCTTTCCGCGATCGTTTTCTCCTGTGTCCGTCGCCACTGTGCCCAGATAATGCCCGCAATTAATTCTCTCTCCCCGCCGACCCGCGATGGAAACGGCGTGGAGCAGCGGCAAAGATGCCCGACTATTTTCGCCCGTGTTTCAAAGAATCCCCTCCGGTTAATGCGCGTTCCGCTTGCAACGGGAGAAGCTTCGGAACCCTCGGGCCCATGCAGCTTCTGTGCCTCGATTATGGGAGCGAACGAGATCCACGGCTAGACAAATCTGTCCGACGAATTGTTAGCACATGTCCAAGCGCGCCGACAAAGCGCTCAAAGTCCCCGCTGCGGGGCCTCGCTGCCTCGGTCGCCACGAGCCTCTTCCCGAAAACCGTGAAAGAGCTCGCCTACGGGCCGAGAGGCTCCATTTATTAACGTCCGACACTCGGTGAAACTTAATAGCCGCCTTTAACGCCTCGAATGTCCCGCGAATATCGAGCGTTTCGAGACTTACGTGCTTTTTATCTCTCAGAATTGGTCGGCGCCGTTAACGACGATCATTTGCAACTCGATAACGAAGCTTCCCGGATCGTTCTGGTAACAATAGATCGACATTCGGCAACGCCGGGTCAGTATTTAATCAGAAACTCGCGCGTATCTCGAAAGCGGAACGCCCGATTTCACCCTCGATTTCACCCTCGACGGAGGAACTGTCTTCTTCATGGCTCGCGCAAATACCGTTTCACGGATCGGCGAGCTTTGCGCATCATTGTCGGAGGTGTCGCTCGCGAGAGATCCTAATCTGTCGCGTCGCAGGGCCCCATTGTGACGCGGCCCGTTCGTGCCCATCTTCCGGAAACGGTCCTTAGCGGCTGTGCCAGCTAAACTGGCCATTATGGCCACGGCGTCTCACGCCCTCTCTTTCTTCGTGTTCCTTTTCGCCAAACTGTCCCACTTCTTATTCCCGCATTACAGGGTATTACTAGTCAGCCGGCTACCTGAGCTCCCGTGGCTCGATCGGCGATACTCGATGGCTCGTGAGAAATCATTGATCCCGCCGCAAATCGGAGATCGTGGCTCCGCTCCACGCTCTTTCGTTCCTCTCGCTCCCTCTTTCTCTCTGGAACGCGATCGCAAATGTTGGCGCACACGGCCGACGTCGACGCGTTTTTATCGGAGGCTGTGCCGAGCACGAATTTGGAAGTGTCGAAGCGCGAGTAAATACTGGGAGGATCATCCGATGTTTTCTTAGTTTACGCGAGCCGCGCGGATTATCCGGGGTGCGAGGATGAGCGAGCCTCTTGCACCCGCTGGGAACAGTTGCTCGCTGCTCTCAGGTGCTCGGTAACCGTGATTACTTTACCTGCAAGGCAGACGCTTATCCACCTGCGAGATTCATTGATTTTTGTGGGCGCAGCTAGAGCTAGTTGCGTTCGCTACCGGCAGGTGGTACGTAAAACCTGTCACCGCGGCCGTTCGCGGACTCGCGAACGCTCTAAGATCCATCCGTGATAAGCGCTTTCGCGCAGAGTACACACTCTAATCAATCATTTTGTTCCGTATTTCACTCGGAAACACGTGCATTTGTATTAGAAATTCGTCTGGGTTAGAATAACAGAAATAACGATTTCGCGTCGTATTACGTAGGGGTTGAAATAAATGGACGGAAAGAGAACGGCGCTCCTAATGACGGAGTTGTACGTCGTCGCAGCCCGACGCAACGAGCTCCTCGGTGGAAGTGCAAAATGTGTTTACAGCGTGAGAAGAGAACGCCGTGGAGGGGTGGAATTAGCCCATCGAAAGGCGCACGGTGTCCAGGGGCGGATCGGGGCGAGACGCTTGGCCGACCAAGCGTCTCGGGGAGCGTTGCGTGGCCGAGCGCAAGACAATTGAAAAAATCACTTGTCTCGCCCTAAAAGTAGGGAGCTGACACAGCACCCTATTGGATGCTGCGGCTGCAGAGCAAGGGTGATGAGTGGAGGCTGACGCGCGTCCATGGGCGGCAGTCCGTTAAACGCAATGTCCCGGATCCGAAACATTGCGGCTCGCCTCCGGAAATTGACATTCGTTCGAACTATTTTCCGCACGTGCATGGGGCCAGCCGCATCCCCGAACTTACGCGTTCTTAACGGTCCTTGCACTTCCCTCGGCTGCGTCAGGTGCAGGGTAAGCGCGTACAAGTGCGTTTCCGACGCACGCGGATCTTTCTTGCGAATTCTCACTTTGATAATTCAGTTTGCGAGTAAAAGATTCGTTGTCGTGAAATTGATGAAATTCTGAATGGAGACGAGCATTGTTTGTTATTCTGTTATATCTGTATTATCAACATAACTGAGCCGTTTATTTTGTAAGTGGCATAAGTCACTTTTTCAAAAAAATCGGGTTAATGGTAACACTAATTACAATTGAACGGTATCTTTTCATTAAAAAAAAATTTGCAATCAATAAGTTGAGAACTATTGAGATTTGTTCGAGAGAAGTTTTGCTAATTAACGGTATAACAAACATGTTTATTTTGAAAGTGGCGTAAGTCGCTGTACTCAGGAAATTAATTGCGGGGCTTAGTGTAAAAGAAATAGAAACGTGTGATAAGTGTGTGTGAAGTATTGTTTTGAATTATTTTCAGTATTTTTGAAAAAGTTGTGATCACTGGACTTACTTTTATAAGTGCGAAAGAATAGTGATTGAAAAAAAGATGAATTTCTAACTTTGGATTTGTCACCAAAAAGAGGAAGACCTAGGCGTTATTCACAAATAGAAATGGATCCGTTATACGCTGGATCTCGTCCTGTTTCTTCAGCAAAATACAAGGACATGATGGACTTGCTTAATTATATACCCTCAATATACCACAGTTATTTTAAAAATTTGAAACAAAATACGATTTCCGAGGACTTAATCACTTCTATTGATGACGAAAATTTAATTGAACCGATGTATTTTCATATAAATTACTTATACTGATGTTTCAAAATGTACTAATTATTTTTGTATTTTATGAATATTAAAAAATAAAAAATACTTAAA